CCATCTTAGCAATTTTCAAGCGCCCTCTATTGGGTCAGGCGAGAATGCGAGCGGAATTCGTTCATGCACTGTGACGTCAAAGGCTAGGTTAATTAGTGTCCAACTTAGGGGGTTATAATGAGAGAGAAAAATAATCACTTAGAGAGTCATAATTCATTGCGCTACTTTCAAGAGAGTGATGGCTGTCTGCAAATACTATGGATGCTCAAATGACCGCGACCGAAATTCGGGGATGTCTTTTTTCACATTCCCTTGTCCGAAGAAAAAAAGATGTCTACACAAGGAATGGCTAGCTAATATCGGTACAGATTTTAAGCCAAAGTCATACAGCCACAATTATGTTGTGTGTGAAAATCATTTCACAGAAGTTGATTACCAAGGAAATCAGACGATCCTGACACAGCTTGGATATACACAAAAACGACTGAAACCTGATGCAGTCCCCGTTAAGTACATTTGTACTGCGAAAAATGAAAGTAAAGCAGTACTCGACAGACGCAATCGAAGAGCAAAATGTAAGGTAATATTACCAAGAAAACTTTCTAAATTTGTAGATGTTACTTTGTTCGAATGATAGTAAAATCGACACCGTGAATGTAAATGTTGGAAACATTTTTTTTAAAAAGAGCAATGTGCAAATCATGGAAATGTTTGACGTATGTCAGTGTGTTTTTTTCTTTTGCCGGGAAAACAACACTTAAACCCCAGACAACTAATTATTTGGCTGAAACTAAAGTAGTTTCCTGATAGTCTGGTGAGATTTGGTTACACCGGAAGGCGACATTATGTTGTGTTTTGCTTGTTTATGTTGACATGTATGCCGGACTGCTAACAAATGTTTGTAATGTTGGTGTTTATTAGTACCACACTGCCCACTTGCAGGTGATGGAAGGTGTGACTCACCAGTGTACTCCGCCAAGTATGGTACATACACTATCATGGAGCAAGAAAGTGGCAGTATTCTTGACTTTCAAGTGGTCCAAAGTACTGAGACAGGTAGCTCTGTCAGGATGGAAAAAGAAGGGTGCAAGAGATCACTGGAAGTAATGAAGGAAGTTCCTATACCAGTTGCCACACTAGCAACTGACAGGCAAGTGCAGATACGTTCAATGATATCGAAAGAATATCCTGAAATCCAACACCAATTTGATGTATGGCACTTCAGCAAAAGTATTAAATAAAAATTAACCACAGCTGCTAACAAGAAAGGATGTAAAGAATTGCTGCCATAGATAAAAGCTATTACCAACCATCTATGGTGGTCTGCTCGCCATTGTGAAGAGGATCCAGATTTACTTGTTGAAAGATGGAAGTCACTTGTCTACCACACATGTAATCAACACAAATTCCCTGGCATAAAGGTCACAAGTTTCTCACATCCACAAATCTTGGTGTGTGAAGAAAGGAGAAAGAAATGGCTGAAATGGGGAAGCCCAGCACACAAAGCACTGGAAACAGTCAAACTAAACAAGTTGATACTACGCGACTTGAAGTATCTTACTTTGTTTTGCCATACAGGGCAGCTCGAAACATATCACAACATGACGTTAAAGTACTGCCCAAAAAGGCAGGAATTTGACCATGACCAAATGATTGCCAGAACCCAGCTTGCTGCACTGGACCACAACAATAACATTGGCCGTGAACAGCATAGAATAGCAACAGGCAATCTTCAGTGGACTGCGGCATGTCCAAAAGCTACACGACAGTGGATTGTTAGAAAGCAATATGTGGAAAAGTCAAACAAGTGGGCCATGAATATGATGACAGCTACACTGCAAAGAAAAGTTGATGAGGATATGGGGAAATCAGTGTACAAGTACAGCGGTACAACGAATTACCCGAAGAATATTGCACCTGAACCAGCCCCATCCAAAAAGGAACTCATTGACAGCTACTGTTCTCGCTTTCACTGATTGGACAGCCTGGCAACTACATTAAAATAACGAATTTTCACTGAGTTTAAATTTCGCTGATTT